CTCTCGATGGTGCAGTGTAGAAACTCTATGAGGATCTGGGACCCATGCCAAATATTTCACTCTCCCCTAAGGGGGAATAGGCTTTGTCGTGCCCTTTCACGACTGGCTTGGTGTGTTTGGACCCCCATGATAGTTTGTTGGTGAGTGTGGACACCAAGGAAATGAAGCTATCAAACCCGCTCCACTACAGCCCCGTCGGTGTGAATGGTGGCGGGTTCGGCCCTCCTTTTCCGGTAGTACACATCAGCTCTTTGTCTTGCGGACGTTGAGGAGAGGTTGTTTAACTGGCACCACACTGGCCAGGTCTATGACCTCTCCTACAGGTGTTGCTCATCGTTGTCAGTGATCAGGCCTACCCATGTTGTGTCGTCAGCAAGCTTAATGATGGTGTTGGAGTCGTTGCTGGGTCCACGCATCATTGGGGAAAAGGGAGTACAGGAGGGGACTAGCACGCACTCCTGATGGGGCCACACGTGTTGAGGATTTACATTTACATCATTTAGCAGCCGCTCTTATCCAGAGCGACTTACAAAATTGTTGGCATTCACCTTATAGCCAGTGGGGATAACCACATTGTACCAAATTTTATTGTATTTTTTTATATATATATTTGTTAATTTATATATTTGTTTTTTAATTTAATTTTTAATTTTTTAAATAATTTTTTCGTTTTTGGGGGGGGGGGGGGGGGGGGGGGGGTTTGGGGTAAGGGAGGGGTAGAATGATTACTTTATCCTATCCCAGGTATTCCTTAAAAGAGGTGGGGTTTCAAATGTCTCCGGAAGGTGGTGAGTGACTCCGCTGTCCTGGCGTCGTGAGGGAGCTTGTTCCACCATTGGGGTGCCAGAGCAGCGAACAGTTTTGACTGGGCTGAGCGGGAACTATGCTTCCGCAGAGGAAGGGAGCCAGCAGGCCAGAGGTGGATGAACGCAATGCCCTCGTTTGGGGTGTAGGGACTGATCAGCGCCTGAAGGTACGGAGGTGCCGTTCCCCTCACAGCTCCATAGGCAAGCACCATGGTCTTGTAACAGATGCGAGCTTCAACTGAAAGCCAGTGGAGTGTGCGGAGGAGGGGGGTGACGTGAGAGAACTTGGGAAGGTTGAACACCAGACGGGCTGCGGCATTCTGGATGAGTTTGTAGGGGTTTTAATGGCACAGGCAGGGAGCCCAGCCAACAGCGAGTTGCAGTAATCCAGACAGGAGATGACAAGTGCCTGGATTAGGACCTGCGCCGCTTCCTGTGTATGGCAGGGTCGTACTCTCCGAATGTTGTAGAGCATGAACCTACAGGATCGGGTCACCGCCTTGATGTTAGCGGAGAACGACAGGGTGTTGTCCAGGGTCACGCCAAGGCTCTTCGCACTCTGGGAGGAGGACACAACGGAGTTGTCAACCGTGATGGCGAGATCATGGAACAGGCAGTACTTCCCCGGGAGGAAGAGCAGCTCCGTCTTGCCAAGGTTCAGCTTGAGGTGGTGATCCGTCATCCATACTGATATGTCTTCCAGACATGCAGAGATGCGATTCACCACCTGGTTATCAGAAGGGGGAAAGGAGAAGATTACTTGTGTGTCGTCAGCGTAGCAATGATAGGAGAGGCCATGTGAGGATATGACAGAGCCATGGTAGATGTGTTGTTACCTACCCTTGCCACCTGGGGTCAGCCCATCAGGAAGTCCAGTAATCAGTTGCAAAGGGAGGTGTTTAGTCCCAGGGTCCTTAGCTTAGTGATGAGCTTTGAGGGCACTATGGTGTTGAACGCTGAGTTGTAGTCAATGAACAGCATTCTCACATTGGTGTTCCTTTTGTCCAGGTGGGAAAGGGCATTGGGGAGTGCAATCGAGATTGTGTCATCTGAGGACCTGTTGGGGCGGTATGCGAATTGGAGTGAATCTAGTCTTTCCCTGATGATGGTGTTGATGTGAGCCATGACCAGCCTTTCAAAGCACTTCATGGCTACTGACGTGAGTGCTACGGGGCGGTAGTCATATAGGCAGGTTACTTTCACGTTCTTGGGCACAGGGACTATGGTGGTCCGCTTGAAACACGTAGGTATTACAGACTCTGTGTGGGGAGAGTTTGAAAAATGTCAGTGAAGACACTTGCCAGCTGGTCCGCGCATGCTCGGAGTACATGTCCTGGTAATCCGTCTGGCCTGCGGCCTTGTTAAAGGTCTTGCTCACATCGGCTACGGCGAGCGTGATCACACAGTCGTCCTGAACAGCTGTGCTCTCTTGCCTGCTTCAGTGTTGCTTGCCCTCGAAGCAAGAATGAAAGGCATTTAGCCCGTCTGGTAGGCTCGGGTCACTGGGCCAGCTAGCCCGTCTGGTAGGCTCGGGTCACTGGGCAGCTAGCCCGTCTGGTAGGCTGGGTCACTGGGCAGCTAGCCCGTCTGGTAGGCTCGGGTCACTGGGCAGCTAGCCCGTCTGGTAGGCTCGGGTCACTGGGCAGCTAGCCCGTCTGGTAGGCTCGGGTCACTGGGCAAGACTCGGGTCACTGGGCAGATCGGGTCACTGGGCAGCTAGCCCGTCTGGTAGGCTCGGGTCAATGGGGCAGCTAGCCCGTCGGTAGGCTCGGGTCACTGGGCAAGCTCGGGTACTGGGCAGCTCGGGTCACTGGGCAGGCTGGGTCACTGGGGCAGCTAGCCGTCTGGTAGCTCGGCACTGGGCCAGCTTAGCCCCGTCTGGTAGATCGGGTGGACTGGGCAGCTAGCCCGTCTGGTAGGATAGGGTGATGGGCAGCTAGCCCGCTGGTTAGCCGGGGTGACTGGGACAGCTAAGCCGTCTGGTAAGCTGGGTACTGGGCAGCTAGCCCGTCTGGTAGGCCCTGGGTCAATGGGAAGCTTAGGCGTATGGTAGGCGCGGGTCACTGGGCAGATAGCCGTCTGGTAGCTCGGGTCATGGGCAGCTAGCCCGTTCTGGTAATCGGGTGACGGGCAGCGAGCCCGTCTGGTAGCTCGGGTCTGGGCAGCTCGCGGCTGGTTTTCCCTTGGAGCCGTAATAGTTTGCGTATGAGCAGGTGGTGTAGTAGGAGGTGGTGTACAGGTGGTGTAGTAGGAGGTGGTGTAGTAGGATTCTTTGCCTGTTTGTATTTGTATTTATATTTGTATTTATTATGGATCCCCATTAGTTCCTGCCAAGGCAGCAGCTACTCTTCTGGGGTTTATAGGGATCCCCATTAGTTTCCTGCCAAAGCAGCAGCTCTCTTCCTGGGGTTTATTATGGGTCCCCATTAGTTCCTGCCAAGGCAGCAGCTACTCTTCCTGGGGTTTATTATGGATCCCCATTAGTTCCTGCCAAGCAGTAGCTACTCTTCCTGGGGTTTATTATGGATCCCCATTAGTTCCTGCCAAGGCAGCAGCTACTCTTCCTGGGGTTTTTATGGAACCCCATTAGTTCCTGCCAAGCAGCAGCTACTCTTCCTGGGTTTATTATGGAACCCCATTAGTTCCTGCCAAGGCAGCACTACTCTTCCTGGGGTTTATTAGGGATCCCCATTAGTTCCTGCCAAAGCAGCAGCTACTCTTCCTGGGGTTTATTATGGGGTCCCCATTAGTTCCTGCCCAAAGGCAAGCCTACTCTTCCTGGGGTTTATTAGGATCCCCATAGTTCCTGCAAGGCAGAGCTTCTCTTCCTGGGTTTATTATGGAACCCCATTAGTTCCTGCCAAGGCAGCAGTACTCTTCTGGGGTTTATTATGGAACCCCATTAGTTCCTGCCAAGGCAGCAGCTACTCTCCTGGGGTTTATTAGGATCCCCATTAGTTCCTGCCAAGGCAGCAGCTACTCTTCCTGGGGTTTATAGGGGATCCCCCATTAGTTCCTGCCAAAGCAGCAGCTACTCTCCTGGGTTTATTATGGGATCCCCATTAGTTCCTGCAGCCCAAGAGCAGCTACTCTTCCTGGGGTTATTATGGATCCCCATTAGTCCTGCCAGGCAGTAGCTACTCTTCCTGGGGTTTATTATGGATCCCCATTAGTTCCTGCCAAGGCAGCAGCTACTCTTCCTGGGGTTTATTATGGAACCCCATTAGTTCCCTGCCAAGGCGCAGCAGCTACTCTTCCTGGGGTTTATTATGGAACCCCATTAGTTCCTGCCAAGGCAGCCAGCTACTCTTCCTGGGGTTTATTATGGATCCCCATTAGTTCCTGCCAAGGCAGCAGCTACTCTTCCTGGGGTTTATTAGGGATCCCCATTAGTTCCAGCCAAAAGCAGCAGCTACTCTTCCTGGGGTTTATTATGGGTCCCTATTAGTTCCTGCCAAGGCAGCAGCTACTCTTCCTGGGGTTTATTATGGATCCCCATTAGTTCCTGCCAAGGCAGCAGCTACTCTTCCTGGGTTTTATTATGGATCCCCATTAGTTCCTGCCAAGGCAGCAGCTACTCTTCCTGGGTTTTATTATGGATCCCCATTAGTTCCTGCCAAGGCAGCAGCTACTCTTCCTGGGTTTTATTATGGATCCCCATTAGTTCTGCCAAGGGCAGCAGCTACTCTTCCTGGGGTTATTATGGAACCCCATTAGTTCCTGCCAAGGCAGCAGCTACTCTTCCTGGGGTTTATTATGGATCACCATTAGTTCCTGCCAAGGCAGCAGCTACTCTTCCTGGGGTTTATTAAGGATCTCCATTAGTTCCTGCCAAGGCAGCAGCTACTGTTCCTGGGGTTTATTATGGATCCCTTTTAGTTCCTGCCAAGGCAGCAGCTACTCTTCCTGGGTTTTATTATGGATCACCATTAGTTCCTGCCAAGGCAGCAGCTACTCTTCCTGGGGTTTATTATGGATCCCCATAGTTCCTGCCAAGGCAGCAGCTACTCTTCCTGGGGTTTATTATGGATCACCATTAGTTCCTGCCAAGGCAGCAGCTACTCTTCCTGGGGTTTATTATGGATCCCCATTAGTTCCAGCCAAAGCAGCAGCTACTCTTCCTGGGGTTTATTATGGATCACCATTAGTTCCTGCCAAGGCAGCAGCTACTCTTCCTGGGGTTTATTATGGATCCCCATTAGTTCCTGCCAAGGCAGCAGGTACTCTTCCTGGGGTTTATTAAGGATCACCATTAGTTCCTGCCAAGGCAGCAGCTACTCTTCCTGGGGTTTATTATGGATCACCATTAGTTCCTGCCAAGCCAGCAGCTACTCTTCCTGGGGTCCAGCAACATTAAGGCAGTTATATCCAATTTAAAATATCACATGACATTACATTTCATAACACTTTTCACAACACATTAAGTGTGTTCCCTCAGACCACTACTCCACTACCACATATCTACAATATAACATCCATGTGTACGTGTGTGTAGAGTGTGTGTCTGTGCCTGTATGTGTGTGTCTCTTCAGAGTCCCCACTGTTCCATAAGGTTTATTTGTATGTGTTTTTTAAATCTGATTCTACTGCTTGCATCAGTTACCTGATGTGGAATAGAGTTCTATGTAGTCATGGCTCTATGTAGTACTGTGCACCTCCCATAGTCTGTTCTGGACTTGGGGACTGTGAAGAGACCTCTGGTGGCATGTCTTGTGGGGTATGCATGGGTGTCCGAGCTGTGTGCTAGTAGTTTAAACAGACACCTTGGTGCATTCAGCTTGTCAACACAGTTTTTTTTTTTTTTTTTTTTTTTTTTTTTTTAGGGGGAATGGATCAGCTTAATATTGCAGATATATTGTATCTTCTATCAATGTAATTGTCTGCATCACTTCCAATCCCCCATGTTTTTTATATATATATACTCCCCTTTATTACTTTTCAACCCCACCATCCTTTCCCTACTTGGAGTAAATTAGTGAACAACAATGCCCAGGCCTCTACTTCCGGTCTATACTTACTATCTACACCTTATGGACAGAGTTAATTTTACAATAATTCTATTATATGTGGTCCTCTGTAGCTCAGCTGGTAGAGCACGGCGCTTGTAACGCCAAGGTAGTGGGTTGGATCCCCGGGACCACCCATACACAAAAATGTATGCACGCACGACTGTAAGTCGCTTTGGATAAAAGCGTCTGCTAAATGGCATATTATTATTATTATTATTATTATTATTATATATTTTTTATTTATTTATTTAAAAAAAATTTTTTTTTGCTCCTGAACTACTTCTACTCTCAACCTCTCCGATCATTTTCATGATGTCCATCCGGTTTGCTTCTATATGCCATATCTTTCTAACTGTGCTCTTTCCCAAAAGCTCCCAACATACAACCTATATACTTATTATGGACACAGTATGCTTACATTATTAGCTATCTTTGTTATTATTTGTTGTTATTTGTTATTAGTCCCATCCTTCAACTCTATTCAATACCTCCCATCTATCTCTTAACACCATCCATATAGGATTTCTATTTGCCATATATATTTCAACCGTACTGTGATGTTTTACAAAAGTTCTGAACCTTTCTATTCTCATTGCTTCTACAGATTGTGAATTAAAAATAAACATTTTTGCTAAAAGTATTATTATATTATTGATTGATTGACTATGACTTTTCAGATCACCCAGTAATGCTATCTGCAAGGTTAGTTCCAGGTAAATATTGCAATCCTTTAGCCATTCCTGGACCGGTGTCCAAAAACAAGCTACAAATGGACAGAACCAAAACAAATGATGATTCTGTCTCTTCACAGCAAAATCTGCAGAGCTGGGAAGATTGTATCCCCCATATAAATAACATTATATTGGTAGCAAGAATTTTATATAATAATTTAAATTGAAAGATTCTAATTTTTGAATCCGGTGTCGTTTTGCGTGTCAGTTCATAAACACTATGCCATGGGATCGGTACGTCAAAGATCTCTTCCCAACTATTTTGCAATCTATATGGGACGGCTGTCAATCCTTTGGTCCTTAAGTGAAACTGATATACTTTTTTATTTATCACAGTTTTCCTTAACCAATTATGTTCTTTAATGCAAGGCTGACAGACAAGTTCCTTACTTTCTCCCCCTTCCACTTTCCTCTTCCACTTTTGCGGTAAGGCTGCAATTATTTGGTTGTAATTTTGGGAAGAGCAGACATTTCCATATGTTTTTGTTAGCTGCATGTGCGTCATAACTCCACCAGTCCTACCGATGATATCATTTACGAAGATTATACCTTTTTTAAACATTCTGTCAAAAAAATAAAGGTTTTTTGTCAATTAGTATATTTGAATTTAACCACAATATTTGTTGCATTATTTGTTCTGTCGTTTCTGGAGGATTAAATTGAAATTGCAACCAACTTTCTATGGCTTGTTTTAGAAATAGTGACATTTGGGAGATTATTTCCTTTTCAAATAACTGAAAGTGAGAGGTTGCAATCTGAATAAAGGGAAAAAGGCCTTTCTTGAACATTGGGTGAGACAATCTTACTAATTTGCTTGAGAACCAGTTCGGATTTAAGTATAACTTTTGTATGACTGAAGCTTTTAGTGATAGGTCTAATGCTTTAATATTTAATAATTTCTGTCCTCTGAATTCATATTCATTATATAAATATGCTCTTTTAATTTTGTCTGGCTTGCCGTTCCAAATAAAATTGAATTTTTTTTCTCATATAATTAAAAAAACTGTTCGCTAGGCGTAGGCAAGACCATAAGCAAATAGGTAAACTGGGATAATACTAAAGAGTTAATCAGGGTGATTTTTCCACAAATTGACAGGTATTTTCCTTTCCATGGTAGTAAGATCTTATCTATTTTTGCTAACTTTCTATTAAAATTTATTGAAGTGAGATCATTTATTTCCTTTGGGATATGTATTCCGAGTATATCCACATCACCATCAGACCATTTTATTGGTAAACTACATGGTAATGTAAAAATTGTATTTTTTAGTGATCCAATACGTAATATAGTACATTTGTCATAATTTGGTTGTAATCCAGAGAGGTTAGAAAATGTATCTAGATCCTCTATGAGGCTGTGGAGGGATTCTAGTTGTGGATTTAAAAGAAAACATGAATCATCAGCGTACAATGACACCTTTGTTTTTAAGCCCTGGATTTCTAATTCCTTGATATTATTGTTGGATCTGATTTTAATAGCTAACATCTCGATGGCCACAATAAATAGATATGCCGATAGTGGACAACCTTGTTTTACTCCTCTTGACAGTTTAAAACTTTCTGAGAAATAGCCATTATTTACTATTTTACACCTAGGGTTACTATACATGATTTTGACCCATTTTATAAGAGATTCTCCAAAATTGAAATGCTCCAGGCATTTATATATAAACCCCAGTCGAACTTTATCAAATGCCTTTTCGAAGTCTGCTATGAATAGCAGGCCTGGTTTCCCAGATTTTCCATAGTGTTCTATTGTTTCCAATACTTGCCTTATATTATCTCCAATGTATCTTCCATGTAAAAAAACCTGTCTGATTAGAATGAATAATATCCGACAATACCTTTTTAATTCTATGCGCTATACATTTTGCTAGGATTTTTGCATCACAACACTGAAGTGTAAGGGGCCTCCAATTTTGTAAATGGACTGGATCTTTATATTTTCCACTTGTATCCTGTTTCAGTAATAATGAGATCAGTCCTTCTTCTTGAGTGTCAGATAATCTACCATTTACATAGGAGTGGTTAAAACATGCTAATAACGGTCCTCTTAGAATATCAAAAAAGGTTTGGTACACCTCAACTGGTATGCCATCCAACCCTGGAGTTTTCCCAGACTTAAAGTCTTTAATTGCATCCAGAAGTTCCTCCTCTGTATTTTCACCTTCACATGAGTCTTTCTGTGTGGCTGTTAATTTGACATTATCAATAGAAAAAAAATCTCTACAATTAGCTTCAGTTAGAGGAGATGGAGGCGACTGAAAAGAAAACATATGCTTAAAGTACTTTGTTTCTTCCTTCAAAATATCATTTGGTGAATTATGGGTGACTCCATCAATTGTAACCAGTTTCATTAAGTTCTTTTTGGTAGCATTCCTATGTTGAAGATTAAAAAAGAATTTTGTGCATTTTTCCCCATATTCCATCCAGTTTGCTTTATTTTTATAATATATTACACTTGATCTTTCTTGAATAAGTTTCTCCATTTATTTTTGTTTTTCCTCTAATTTATTCTGAGCCTCTATGTTACAGTTTTTATTGCCATCTATCTGTTCTGTTAGACTTTCTATTTCCTTTCTTAGTATAAACTCTTTTGACCTAAATTGCTTTTGTTTTCGAGATGAGTACTGAATTGCATGGCCTCTAAAGGCACATTTAAAGGTGTCCCATACAGCAAGGGGATTCGCTGTACCTATGTTATGTTGGAAAAAGTCAGTTATAAATTCCTTTGTTCTAATTATAAATAAATTATCATCCAATAGGCTTTGATTAAATGTCCAATATCCTCGCCCACGTGGAAATTCAGTAAGAGTAATGTATATGCCTATTATATGATGGTCCGATCGCATTCTGTCCCCTATCAACACTTTTTTTTACTTTTGGTGCCAACGAGAATGAGATAAGAAAGAAGTCAAGACGACTAGCTTGATTCAGTCTCCGCCATGTATATCTCACTAGATCAGGATATTTAAGCCTCCATATATCTACTAGTTCTAATGTATCCATGACATTCACAATGTCCTTAAGAGCATGTGGGTGATTGTTTGTGGTGTGATTTCCTTTACGGTCCATTGAGCTATTTAAAACAGTATTATAATCCCCCACCATAATAATATTGTCTTGAGTTGCTTGCAGGCTTGATAATTTATTATATATATTGTCAAAGAATTGTGGATCATCATTATTTGGTCCGTAAAGGTTAATGAGCCATATCTGTTTATGGTCCAATAACATATTTAAAATAATCCATCTACCTTGTGTATCTATTTGTACAATTTGCACATTCGGATCGAAATTACTATTAATTAATATCATCACCCCTTTTGAATTTCTTTGCCCATGGGAGAAGTATATTTCCCCCCCCCCCATTCTTTTTTCCACGCTACTTCATCTCGAATTGTTGAATGAGTTTCCTGTATACAATAGATATTATATTCCTTCTCTTTGAGCCATGTAAATATTGTTCTTCTTTTGTTATTATCAGCTAAGCCATTACAATTATAACTGGCTATACTTATTTCACCATACACCATAATGAGATACAAGTTTCAAGTCTATTTATCATTATATATGTTTGTAAATTTACCAATAAAAAATAGCGTAATGATTGAGTGTCCATATAGCTGTACCGTGATATTTGCATTGCTACGGAGTAACCCTTCAATTGTTCTCCACTAATTCCCCCGCTAAAGCCCCTCCCCATCCCAAGTTGAGCCGTCATCCCAGTGATCAGCATCCCACCCACGTCCCTCCGTATCCCTAAGGCCCCGAGAGGCCAGGACCCATCCATCGAAAACAGCACACAGTGCCACCCACAAAACAGAAGCAGATTAACCGCCAAAAGCATTTCCAATGCTTTCACCTCTATATATATATAAATCTATATATCTATTTTTTTTTAAATTATGCATATCCTATTTTCCATCATTATCAATTAATATGCGTAATAATGTCGGCAGTTCACGCGTAGGATTCTAACATATAACCCGGATTGCCATTGTATTACATTTAATTCATTGACAAGCAATTATTATCCTAGCAAATAATTCCCGTGGTCCATCCCATACCCTTCCCCCCAACATCCCCACCCCCCCACAACAGAAGCCAGACAAGCACACACGCACATACTCACATACTCCAACACACTCAACCCCCCTCCTCCTCCCTCCTCCACAGTCCACCATAAAAACAGATACTCAACAGCTGTTATATCCCAGAGCCCAACTCGAGAAATAACTTGATTTACGAGTGCACATACAGTTAAAGCTGATTGAGAAAGCATGCAGATTGAGTAGAAATTGATAACAATGTGAGATTTGATTAATCTACTTAATCTATGTCAAGTCCTAGGTGATGGAGATCAACACTCTGATCCCCTGTTGTAACCATTTTCCCAAGCATCTCCATGCGGTCAGACCTTTGATTATTTTGTGCCACCTGGGCTACAATGATAAACCCCCTCTCTGATTGTCCGAGTGTGACCCCCTCCCCATGGGTTACTGCAGCCAGTGTTGCCAGCACTGCCACTACCTGGGTGGGCGTACCCCACCGGAATCCCCACCGGAATAAAAAGGTAAAAGGTCGTCAAGGTTCTCATTAGCAGCTTTGAGAATGTCCTTGTATATTATGCTCTCCCATCAGGGGGCTCTGGCTTTGTAGGACCAACCCTGCCAGGCAGGCTCAGAATCTTGAGGGGGCAGTGCTGCTCTAGTAGGTCTCTGACCGCATTTATTTATCTGTTTAGGCTGCATATTCACAGCAGGTCCATAAAAGAGATGGGAACTTCTCTTTGGTGTATGGGTCGCTCAGGTGGGTGTCCAGGTTATAGGGTTAGGGATCTTTCCATCATGAAAGAACAATGAAAAATTAGATTAGATGTATACTATTTTTAAAAATGTATATCCCTCATCTACACAAAATTGAAAGCTCCCTCTCACTACCCCTGCTCATAGACCCCCGGTCGGCTCTGGGATATGCAACCATTTCCCCTCTCACTCACTTAACGCCGCACCTTTTCAAACACAAAAATGCACACCACATGGTTGACTGGGGAAGAAATGGGCCGAGCGTGCAAACGCACCCGCATCCACATCTGCCGCAAGGGGGAAAGGACGCCAGAGAGAACACAGGACCAACCACAACAACCATCCGCCAAAACAACAACCTCCCGCCAAAAAAGCCATGTTCTAATTATTTGTATTTAAATATGTATTATTCTGCTTGTTATATCGTTTTATAAAATACTATACTTACTATAAATGTTATTTAATATTACAATCCCTATCAGGTGCTCCAATATTTGACTCCTCTATTACAACTTTTAGAATAGCCATGGAGTAGTCTTTGTGTCTCTGAACATTTGGTTGTCAATATATAATTTATCCACCACTAGTGCAACACGTTTCCCTTTTAATCTGTTTTCCTTGAAGATTGGATACAGAACTTTGCGCCTTTCTACAATCTCCTTCGGGAACTGATCATTCATGCCTATTTTCGTGCCAGCAAGTCTTTTTCCCAGGCTTTTCACCATAGCTTTATCCTTAAAAAAAGCAAATTTGGCAACGATTGGGCGCTCATATTTCTGTCCTCTTTTTCCGAAACGATGTACACGTTCGTGTTGGATTTTATCGACAGCCTCGAGTGGGATTTGTAGCGCTGTATGCAGGAAGTCCTTCATAATATTCTCTGTTATTTCTCCCTCCTTTTCCTGAATACCCGTAAGTACTAGATTTTCCCTCATCGATCTAGTTTGGATGTCTAGTAAGGCTTCTCTCAGAAGATTGTTCTCCTTTTTTAGTTCCCTAACGTCCGTTTCCATTTTAGAGACTGTCACTTTTAATTCTTTGGTTTCTTTCTCCATTACCAAAGCTTTTTCGTCACTCATTTGAAGACTCGCTTTCAACTCTTTTACGTCTTTACTGACCAATTCTAGTATGCCCAATTTGTCATTTATCGACTTCAACAGGTCGCTTTCCACACTTACCATACCCAGTGGTGAAAAGCATATATCATCTGTATCAGTCGATGAGTCGCGTTTCCTTTTGGGGATCGGCTCTCCACGCTTGTCTTCAGTCATGTTTGGGTGTTGCGTGTTGATGTAATATTTGTCGATATATTTCTCTAGCCTTATGATCTGTTTTGTGTTATTATCCAGATTGAATTATATTAACTGCGAATATATGAAATGCTAATATTTAGTCTAACTTACTGATTTTGAATATTATGTTTTTATCTTGAGGTGTTTCGTACCGATTTCTATTCAATACGCCATCTTGTCTACGCGTGCCCCGCCCACTGCTTTGCTTAATCTTCTTGTCAACACTTACAAAAATGTCAATCTCTCCTCCATTTTGAGCCAGGAGAGATTGACATGCATATTATTAATGTTAGCGCTCCATGTACATTTAAGGGCCAGCCGTGCAGCCCTGTTCTGAGCCAATTGTAATTTTACGAGGTCCCTCTTTGTGGCACCTGACCACACGACTGAACAGTAGTCTAGGTGCGACAAAACTAGGGCCTGTAGGACCTGCCTTGTTGATAGTGCTGTTAAGAAGGCAGAGCAGCGCTTAATTATGGACAGACTTAGACACTCTGGCTTTACTCAAAGCCAGTGGCATATCATTAGTAAAGATTGAAAAAATGAAGGGTCCAAGACAGATGCCCTGGGGAATTCCTGATTTTACCTGGGTTATGTTTGAGAGACTTCCATTAAAGAACACCCTCTGTGTTCTGTTAGACGGGTAACTCTTTATCCACAATATAGCAGGGGGTATAAAGCCATAACACATACGTTATTCCAGCAGCAGACTATGATTGATAATGTCAAAAGCCGTACTGAAGTCTAACAAAACAGCTCCCACAATCTTTTTATCATCAATTTCTCTCAGCCAATCATCAGTCATTTGTGTAAGTGCTGTGCTTGTTGAATATCCTTCCCTATAAGCGTGCTGAAAGTCTGTTGTCAGTTTGTTTACTGTGAAATAGCATTGTATCTGGTCAGCGGAATGACTTTTGCTTCCCTCCAGGCCTGAGGGCACCCACTTTCTAGAAGGCTTAGATTGAAGATAATGCAAATAGGAGTGGTGATATCGTCCGCTATTATCCTCAGTATTTTTCCATTCAAGTTGTCAGACCCTCGTGGCTTGTCACTGTTGATAAACAACAATTAATTTTTCACCTCTTCCACACTCATTTTACGGAATTCTAAATTACAATGCTTGTCTTGCATATTATAATCAGATATACTTGGATGTGTAGTGTCAGCATTTGTTGCTGGCATATCATGCCTAAGTTTGCTAATCTTGCCAATGAAAAAAATCGTTAAAGTAATCGGCAATATCAGTGGGTTTTGTGATGAATGAGCCATCTGATTCAATGAATGATGGAGCTGAGTTTGCCTTTTTGCCCAACATTTCATTTAAGGGGCTCCAAAGCTTTTTACTATCATTCTTTATGTCATTTATCTTTGTTTCATAGTGTAGTTTCTTCTTCTTTTTATTCAGTTTAGTCACATGATTTCTCAATTTGCAGTACGTTTGCCAATCGGTTGTGCAGCCAGACTTATTAGCCATTCATTTTGCCTCATCCCTCTCAACCATACAAATTTCAAATTCCTCATCAATCCATGGGGATTTAACAGTTTTTACAGTCATTTTCTTAATGGGTGCATGCTTATTAGTAACTGGGATAAGCAATTTCATAAATGCGTCAAGTACAGCGTCTGTTTGCTCCTCATTACACACCACAGACTAACAAATATTATTTACATCAACAACATAGGAATCACTACAAAACGTATTGTATGACCTCTTATACACTATATTAGGCCCAGCCTTTGGAACTTTGGTTTTCCTAGATATGGCTACTATATTGTGATCACTACATCCAATGGATTTGGATACTGCTTTCAAACAAATCTCTGCAGCATTAGTAAAGATATGATCAATACATGTTGATGATTTAATTCCTGTGCTGTTTGTAACTACCCTGGGAGGTTGACTGATAACCTGAACCAGGTTGACTGATAACCTGAACCAGGTTGCAGGCACTGGTTACAATTTGAAGCTTTTTCTTGAGTGGGCAGCTTGATGAAAGCCAGTCAATATTTAAATCACCCAGAAAGTATACCTCTCTATTGATATCACATACATTATCAAGCATTTCACACATGTTATCCAGATACTGACTGTTAGCACTTGGTGGTCTATAGCAGCTTCCCACCAGAATGGGCTTTAGGTGAGGCAGATGAACCTGTAGCCATATTACTTCAACAGTATTTAACATGAGATCCTCTCTAAGCTTTACAGGAATGTGGTTCTGAATATAAACTGCAACACCTCAACCATTTCTGTCTTTTCTGTAGATGTCTAACCGTCGATGCACTTATTGATGAAGCCGGTGACTGATGTGGTGTACTCCTCAACATATTCCAGTCTGTGCTAGCAAAACAGTCCTGTAGCTTAGCATCTTCGTCATCTGGCCACTTCCGTATTGACCGAGTCACTGGTACTTCCTGCTTAAGTTTTTTTGCTTGTAAGCAGGAATCAGGAGGATTGAATTATTGTCAGATTTACCAAATGGATGGTGAGGGAGAGCTTTGTATGCGTATTGACCGAGTCACTGGTACTTCCTGTGTGGAGTAAAGGTGGTCCAGAGTTTTTTTAGATAAACTCTTGGTAAACAGTGGGTCTACAGCTTATCATGAGGTACTCTACCAGCAAAACCTTCCTTAATATTAGAGATTGCGCACCAGCTGTTATTGACAAAAAGACACAGACCGCCACCCCTCGTCTTACCGGAGGCAGCTGTTCTGTCTTGCCGATGCACGGGAAACCCAGTTTATCTGTGTGTGTGCTGGAGAGGAAGGAGAAGGGACAGTGAAAGAAAATTATTTGTATTTTCTGGAGAATATTACATCATATGATCTCTCTCTCGCTCTCTCTCGCTCTCTCTCTCTCTCAGATCACAGAGGTGACACATGGACACCATTAGAAGAACACTGCTGAGACAGGTGAGTGGGAAGGAGGGCATGAGACAGAGAGGGACGGGGAGGAGGGAGAGAGAGGGACAGGGGGAAGAGGGAGGGAGAGAGGGACAGGGGGAGGAGGGAGGGAGAGAGGGGACAGGGGGAGGAGGGTGAGAGAGGGACGGGGGAGGAGGGAGGAGGAAGAGGGAGAGGGACGGGGGAGGAGGGAGATGGAGGGATGATCTAACATTCAAATGTACCTAATAACTCTTGTATTTAAGTATAATGTTTCTTCTCTCTCGGTCTGTCTCTCTCGCTCTCTCTGTCCTCTGTCTCTCTCTCTCTCTCTTTGTCCCCTTTTCTCTCTCGTCTTTGCCGGGTCTCTCGTCCCCCCCTCTCTCTTTCTCTCTCTGTCTCCCCCTCTTTTCTCTCTCTCTTCTCTCTCTCTCCTCTCGGTTTCTTTGTTTTTCCTTTTTGGGTTTTCTCTCTCTCTCTCCCTCTCTTTTCTCTTTTCCCCTCTTTTGTACCTTCTAAACCTTTGTTGTCCTCTTCTCTCTCGCCTTTTTTTCTGTGCCCTTTTCCCCTCTCTCGTTTTTAAGGTCTCTCTCCCCTCTCTGTTTCCTTTCTTTTCTCTGTCTTTTCCCCTCTCTGTCTCCCCTTTGTCTTTGTCTCTCTTTCCTTGCCTCGGGTCTCTCGTCTTTGTCTCCCCCCCTCTTTTTTCTGTTCCTCTCTGTCCCCCCTGTCTCACTCTCTCACTCTGTTTTGGTTCTCTCTCCGTTTCTCTCTCTCTGTCCTCTGTCTCTCTCTGCCCCTATTTTCCCCTCTCTGTCTCTCTCTGTCCAAATGTCTCTCTCCGCTCTCTGTCTCTTCTTTTCTTTTTCTCTCCCCCCTTTTCTCCTCGCTCTTTGGGTTTTCCTGTCTCTCTGTTTTCCCCTCTCTCCTCTTTGTTTTCTTTTGGTTCTTTTCTCTCTCCTCTCTCTCTCTTCTCTTTTCCTCTTTTCTCTTCGCTTTTTGCCCTCTCTCTCTTGCTCTTCTTTCTCTTCTCTCTTTTTTTTTTTCTCTCTCTTTTTGCTCTCCTCTCGCTTTTTCTCTCTCTCTTTTGCCCTGTATCTCTCGTCTCCTTCTTGTCCTCCCCTCTCTTTTTCCCTCTCTTTTTTTTCCCCTTTTCTTTTTTTTCCTTTTCCCCCCGCTCTCCCTCGCTCCCCTCTCTCTCTCCCCTCTCTCGCTTAATGCCCTCCTCTCTCTCTCTCTTGCTCTTTTTTCTCTGTGTCCTCTCTCTCTCTTTGTCTCTGTCTCTGTCTCTCTTTCTCTGCTCTTTTTTTTGTTCGGTCTCTTCTCTCTTCTCTCTTTCTTTGTCTTTTTTGGGCTCTCTCTCTCTTCTTTTCCCCTCTCTCTGTCCTCTCTTTCTCCTCTTGTTTTATTTTTCTCTCTCCCCTTTCACCGTTTGGTCCCCCTTTCCCTCTCTCTCCTTTTCTCTCTCTCCTTTTTCCCTCCTTCTCTACCCCGCTTTTTCGCTCTCTCGACCCTTTTCTCCCTGTTCTCTCTCCTTTCTCTCCCCCTTGGTTCTCATCCTTTTTTCTTTCTGTCTCTCTCTCTCTCTCTCCCTCTTTGTCTGCCCTCGGGGCCCTCTCTCTCTTTCTCATCTTTTTCCTCTGGCCTTTTTCTCTACTCTCTCCCTCTCTTTTCTCTCTGTTTTCTCTTTTTCCCTCTCTTTCTCTCTCCCCTTTCCCCTTCTTTTATCTCTCTTTTTGGTTCCTCTCTTCTCTCTCTCTCTCTCTTTTTCTTCCCCTTTTGGTTTCCCCCTTTTCTTTCTCTTCCCCCCTCCCCCGCTCTTTGTCTCTCTTCGGCCCTCTCTTCGTTTGGCCCCTCCTCTCTCTCCCCCCGCTCTTTTGTTTTTTCCCCTCTCTCTTTTTGTCCTCTTTTTTTCTGTCTCTCGTTTGTTCTCTTCTCCCCTCTCCGTCTTTTTCTTCTCTCTCTTTTTTCTTTTTTCTGTCTGTCTCCCCTTTTCTCGGAGTTTTTGTCTCTCCTCTCTCTTTCTTTTCTCTCTTCTCTTTCCTCTTTTCTCTCTTTTGTCTTTTTTTCTTTTTGTTTTTCTCGCTCTCTTTTTCCTTTCTTTTTTCTCTTTTTGCCCTCCCCAAAATCCCCTCTTTTTCTCTCTTCTCTCTCTTTCCTATTTTTTCCTCTGTCTCTTTTTTTCCTTCTTTCTTTTCCTCCCTTCTCTGTCGCTCATTTGTTCTCGCCCCCCTCCCCCCTTCTCTCTTTCTCTCCTTTTTTGGTCTCTCTCTCTTTCTCTCCTTTTTTTTTCCTTTTTCTTCCCCTCCTCGCTTTTTTGTTCCCTTCGGTCTCTCTCTGCCCCTTTCCCCCGGGTTCTCATCCTCTCTTTTTTGTTCTTTTCTGCCTCTTTTCTCTTTCCTCTCTGTCTCCCCTCTTTCTTTCTTTAACTCCCCTTTTTCCCTTCCTTGGGCCCTCTCTCCTCCCTCTTTTTTTATCTCTTTTTTTTCCCCGGCTTCCCCTTTTTTCTTTTCTCTCTCTCTCTCATTTTTCCCTTTTTCCTCTCTTTCTCTCCCCGGGGGGGGGATTAAAGGGGGGGGGCCTCCCCTCTCTTTCTTTTTTTCTCTTTTTCCAATTTGGTCCTTCTCTCTTTCTCCTCCTTTTCTCCCCTTCTCTGCTCTTTTCTTTTTATCCTTTACCCCTTCCCCCTTCCTCCTTCTCTTCTCTCTCCCCTTCCCCCTTCCTCCTCCTCCCACTCTCCTGTTTTGTCAAAATAGTCACTCAGTGGGAGGGGGCTGATTAAACGAGGTGGGGGGGTTTTGGATGAAGCTCGACCAACCAGAGTCCGAGGAGGAGCTGGAAGCGGAGCCAAACCAGGGACACCCAACAGCCCGGTGTTAGGGAAACCCAGCATAACGGGAAGACAGTGATCTACCTGTCTCTCTCAACACTCATATTCACTAACGGGGTTTTCACCCCTGTTCTCTAAACATCATTTCCACACAGGTATCACTCATTTGTCCCCTCCCCAACACTCAATTAAACTAGGGGACACTCCTGCTCTCTCAACACTCATATTCCCTAAGGTACACTCATGTCTTTTTAAACCCTCCTATTCCTACGGGTACCCCATCATGTCTTCCCCCAAAAAACTCAATTCAACAGGTATCATCACTGTCCTTAAAACCACCTTTTTTTCCTACAGGTATCACTCACTTTTCTTTTTAAACACTCAATTACTACAGGTATACCCACTGTTTTTTTCACACTCATATTCCAAAAGGTATAAAATCACTGTCCTCTAAACCACTAAATATTCATACAGTTCACTCACTGTCTCTTTTCAACACTAAATTTTAACTACAGGTACCCATCACTGTTTTTTTAAAAAATCATATTCACTACAGGTATCACTAAAGGGCCCTCTCTCAACACTATATTCACCTACAGGTATCACCCCACTGCCCTCTCTAAACCACTCATTTTCTCCCGGATCACTAAAGGTCTCTCTCAACACTCATTTCACTACGGGGATCACTCACTGTCTCTCCACCTTTGCTATGTTAGTGTGTTCTGGTTGGCTCTAAGGGTTCTGGGGGCGGGGCTCTGTGTCTCTGTAGCGTTTATTTTGGGCTACGTGGGTTCCGGGGGGCCCGTGCCACTACGGGGGTTGGGGAGGGGGAGGGGGGCCCCGGGGGGATAAGCCTGGACCAGACCATTATTACCAGGTGGGGGGTATGTACCTGGGCGAACTACGGGACATGAAAAAGGAAAATACCGGCAGGACGAGGGGATAGAGACTATTTGTCGGGTTAACACACACAAAGACCCCCCAACCACACAAAAGGGGACACACACCCACACCCCGGGGACACCCACACACACCACCCACAAAAACACACCCCCAAAAGAGACACACCCACACACACAAAAGACCCCACACACACCACACCCACCCCAGAGTACCACACACAGAACCACACACACACAAAGACCAAACACACACAGAGACACCACACACACACACACAGAGGACCAGGTCGCACACAGAGACACACACAGATGCAGGCAGACACCTGCACACACACACACACACACCTGGCTAGAGGTGTATCTGGATGATAACAGTGTGTATTTTTGGTCAGGCGAGTCAGCAGGACGACCCACCCATCGGGGTCCTCTGAGGGGACAGCTCTGGCAGCAGAGATACTACAGACCTTTAAAGATCTCCACATGGACCACACCTGGGCCGACTCTCACTATGCTACACTACAGTTCCCCTCCAGGTTGGGGGGGGGGGGGGGGGGGGGGGGGGTGATGGAGGGGGGGGGGGGGTGCTGGAGGAGGGGTGGAGGTGGAGGAGGTGGAGGGGAGGAGGGAGGAGGAGGAGAGAGGAGGAGGGAGGAGGAGGAGGGAGGAGGGGAGGTGGAGGTGGAGGAGGGGAGGAGGAGGAAGGAGGAGGAGGAGGTGGGAGGGGGAGGAGGAGGCGGAGGTTGGTCTTTAGAACTCAACGAAATGCTCAGTGGTTGATTGTGTGTATATAATGTGTGTGTGTGTGTATATATCATGTGTGTGTGTGTGTGTATGTATGTATGTATGTATATAATATATATTGTGTGTAGTGTATATATATTGTGTGTATATATATATATATATATATACATATACAGTACCAGTCAAAAGTTTGGACACACCTACTCATCAGGGTTTTTCTTTATTTTTACTATTTTCTACGTTGTAGAATAACAACCTATGAAATAACATGTAGTAACCAAAAAAGTGTTAAACAAATCAAAATACATTTTATATTTGAGATTCTTCAAATAGCCACCCTTTGCCTTGATGACAGCTTTGCACACTCTTGGCATTCTCTCAACCAGCTTCACCTGGAATACTTTCCAACAGTCTTGAATGAGTTCCCACATATGCTGAGCACTTGTTGGCTGCTTTTCCTTCACTCTGCCGTCCGATTCATCCCTAGCCATCTCAATTGGGTTGAGGTCAGGGGATTGTGGAGGCCAGGTCATCTGATGCAGCACTCCATCACTCTCCTTGGTAAAATAGCTCTTACACAGCCTGGAGGTACAGTTGAAGTCTGAAGTTTACATACACTTAGGTTGGAGTCATTAAAACTCGTTTTTCAACCATTCCACAAATTTCTTGTTAACAAACTATAGTTTTGGCAAGTCGGTTAGGACATCTACTTTGTGCATGACACAAGTAATTTTTCCAACAATTGTTTACAGACAGATTATTTCACTTATAATTCACTGTATCACAATTCCAGTGGGTCAGAAGTTTACATACACTAAGTTGACTGTGCCTTTAGCTTGGAAAATTCCAGGAAATGATGTCATGGCTTTTGAAGCTTCTGATAGGCTAATTGACATCATTTGAGTCAATTGGAGGTGTACCTGTGGATGTATTTCAAGGCCTACCTTCAAACTCAGTGCCTCTTTGCTTGACGTCATGGGAAATTCAAAAGAAATCAGCCAAGACCTCAGAAAAATAATTGTAGACCTCCACAAGTCTGGTTCATCCTTGGGAGCAATTTCCAAACGCCTGAAGGTACCACATTCATCTGTACAAACAATAGTACACAAGTATAAACACCATGTGACCACGCAGCCGTCATACCGCTCAGGAAGGAGACACGTTCTGTCTCCTAGAGATGAACGTACTTTGGTGCGAAAAGTGCAAATCAATCCCAGAACAACAGCAAAGGACCTTGTGAAGATGCTGGAGGAGGAAACAGGTACAAAGTATCTATATCAACAGTAAAACAAGTCCTATATCGACATAACCTGAAAGGCCGCTCAGCAAGGAAGAAGCCACTGCTCCAAAACCGCCATAAAAAAGCCAGACTACGGTTTGCAACTGCACATGGGGACAACAATCTTACTTTTTGGAGAAATGTCCTCTGGTCTGATGAAACAAAAATATAACTGTTTGGCCATAATGACCATCGTTATGTTTTTTTAGGAAAAAGGGGGTTGCTTGCAAGCCGAAGAACACCATCCCAACCGTGAAGAACGTGGGTGGTAGCATCATGCTGTGGGGGTGCTTTGCTACAGGAGGGACTGGTGCACTTCACAAAATAGATGGCATCATGAGGAAGGAAAATTATGTGGATATATTGAAGCAACATCTCAAGACATCAGTCAGGAAGTTAAAGCTTGGTCACAAATGGGGTCTTCTAAATGGACAATGACCCCAAGCATACTTCCAAAGTTGTGGCAAAATGGCTAAATAAAAGCTGAAATAAATCATTCTCTCTACTATTATTCTGACATTTCACATTCTTAAAATAAAGTGGTGATCCTAACTGACCTTAGACAGGGAATTAATGTCAGGAATTGTGAAAAACTGAGTTTAAATGTATTTTGCTAAGGTGTATGTAAACTTCCGACTTCAACTGTATGTTGAGTCATTGTCCTGTTGAAAAACAAATGATAGTCCCACTAAGCCCAAACCAGATGGGATGGCGTATCGCTGCAGAATGCTGTGGTAGCCATGCTGGTTAAGTGTGCCTTGAATTCTAAATAAATCACAGACAGTGTCACCAGCAAAGCACCCCCACACAATAACACCACCTCCTCCATGCTTTACGGTCGGAACTACACATGTGGAGATCATCCGTTCACCCACACCGCGTCTCACAAAGACACGGCAGTTTGAACCAAAAAACTCAAATTTGGACTCCAGACCAAAGGACACATTTCCACCTGTCTAATGTTCATTGCTCGTGTTTCTTGGCCCAAGCAAGTCTCTTCTTCTTATTGGTGTCCTTTAGTAGTGGTTTCTTTGCAGCAATTTGACCATGAAGGCCTGATTCACACAGTCCCCTCTGAACAGTTGATGTTGAGATGTGTCTGTTACTTGAACTCTGTGAAGCATTTATTTGCTGGTAACTCTAATGAACGTGTCCTCTGCAACAGAGGTAACTCTGGGTCTTCCATTCCAGTTTCATCATAGTGCATGATGGTTTTTGTGACTGCACTTGAAGAAACTTTCAAAGTTCTTGAAATTGTCCGTATTGACTGACCTTCATGTCTTAAAGTAATGATGGACTGTCATTTCTCTTTGCTTATTTGAGCTGTTCATGCCATTACATGGACTTGGTCTTTTACCAAATAGGGCTATCTTCTGTATACCCCCCCCCCCCCCCCCTACCTTGTCACAACACAACTGATTGGCTCAAACACATTAAGAAGGCACACCTGTTAATTGAAATGCATTCCAGGTGACTACGTCATGAAACTGGTTGAGAGAATGCCAAGATTGTGCAAAGTTGTCATCAAGGCAAAGGGTGGCTATTTGAAGATTCTCAAATATAAAATACTGTATATTTTGAATTGTTTAACACTTTTTTGGTTACTACATGATTCCATATGTGTTATTTCGTAGTTTTGATGTCTTCACTATTATTCTACAATGTAGAAAATAGTAAAAATAAATGAAAAACCCTTGGATATGAGTAGGTGTGTGTCCAAACTTTTGGACTGGGTAGTGCATGTATATAGTATATGTGTGTGTGTGTGTGTGTGTGTGTGTGTGTGTGTGTATGTATATAGTATATGTGTGTGTGTGTCTATAATATGGACGTGTTTTACCAGGAGTCCCCACAAGAATAGTAAACGAAGAAAGATTTGACCAACTGGGGACATTTTGTTGGTCCCCACGAGGTCAAATTCTATTCGTAGGGGGTTTAAGGTTATAATTAATGTTATGGGTTAGAATTCCATTTAGGGTTAGGAGCTAGGGTTAGTGTTAGAGTTAGGGTTATGAGCTAGGGTTAGTGTTAGGAGCTAGGGTTCGGAGCTAGGGTTAGGAGCTAGGGTTAGGAGCTAGGGTTAGGAGCTAGGGTTAGGAGCTAGGGTTAGGGTTAGGAGCTAGGGTTAGGAGCTAGGGTTAGGGTTAGGAGCTAGGGTTAGGAAGCTAGGGTTAGGGTTAGGGTTAGGGTTAGGGTTAGGAGCTAGGGTTAGGGTTAGGAGCTAGGGTTAGGAGCTAGGGTTAGGGTTAGGGTTAGGAGCTGGGGTTAGGGTTAGGAGCTGGGGTTGGGGTTTAGGAGTAGGGTTGTTTTAGGTGGGGTTGGGGTGGGTTGGGAAAGTGGGGTTTGGGTTTTGGGGTTTTGGGGTTGGGAGCGGGGTAGTTTTAGAGTTGGGGGTTGGGGTTTTGGAGTAGGGTTAGTGTTAGAGTTAGGGTTGGGTTGGGAGCTGGGGTTTAGGTTAGATTTGGGTTAGGGTTAGGACTAGGTTAGTGTTAGGGTTGGGTTGGAGCTGGGGGTAGTGTTAGAGTTAGGGTAGGGTTAGGAGCTGGGGTTATGTTAGAGTTAGGGTGGAGCTGGGGAGTGTTAGAGTTGGGGTTGGGGTTAGGAGTGGGGTTGGGGTTTGGTTGGGGTTTAGGAGCTAGGGTTGGTTAGATTTGGGTTTTGGGAGCTGGGTTGGGTTTAATTTAGGGTTGGGTTAGGAGCTAGGGTTGGGTTTTGGGTTTGGGGTTGGAGTAGGGTTGGGTTTTGGGTTGGGGTTGGGGTTTTGGGAGCTAGGGTTATTTTAGATTGGGTTTAGGAGCTGGGTTAGGTTAGAGTTGGGGTTTGGGGTTAGGAGCTAGGGTTATTTTGATTTAGGGTTGGGAGCTAGGGTGTGTTAGATTTGGGGTTTAGGAGAGGGTTAGTGTTAGAGTTAGGGTTAGGGAAAATTGGATTTTTAATGGGACTGAATTGTGTCCCCACAAGGTTAGCTGTACAAGACTGTGTTGTGTGTGTGTGTATAATGTGTGTGTATATAATGTGTGTTTAGGACCCAGAGGAACTCCCTATGGATGGTGGATTCACAGGGAGAGGTGTTGGAGGAGATTTCTCTGGAGAATCCAGATTCCTACTGTGCCTACAGCGCTATTGGCACCGCCACGGTGAGAGAGAGAGAGAGAGAGAGAGAGAGATTAACTATACTACATACACTACCAGTCAAAAGTCTGGACACACCTACTCATTTTTTTTAAAAAACTATTTTCTACATTGTAGAATAATAGTGAAGACATCAAAACTATGAAATAACACATATGGAATCATGTAGTAACCCAAAAAGTGTTAAACAATTCAAAATATACAGTATTTTATATTTGAGAATCTTCAAATAGCCACCCTTTGCCTTGATGACAGCTTTGCACACTCTTGGCATTCTCTCAACCAGCTTCACCTGGAATGTTTTCCAGCAGTTTTGAAGGAGTTCCCACATATGCTGAGCACTTGTTGGCTGCTTTTCCTTCACTTTGCGGTCCAACTCATCCCAAACCATCTCAACTGGGTTGAGGTCGCGGGATTGTGGAGGCCAGGTCATCTGATGCAGCACTCCATCACTCTCCTTCTTGGTAAAATAGCCCTTACCCAGCCTGGAGGTGTGTTGGGTCATTGTCCTGTTGAAAAATAAATGATAGTCCCACTAAACCCAAACCAGATGGGATGGCGTATCGCTGCAGAATGCTGTGGTAGCCATGCTGGTTAAGTGTGCCTTAAATTCTAAATAAATCACAGACAGTGTCACCAGCAAAGCACCCCCACACCATAACACCTCCTCCACCTCCATGCTTTACGGTGGAAACTACACATGTGGAGATCATCCATTCACCCACACCGCGTCTCACAAAGACAAAGCGGTTGGAACCAAAAATCTCTAATTAGGACTCCAGACCAAAAGGACACATTTCCACCGGTCTAATGTCCATTGCTCGTGTTTCTTGGCCCAAGCAAGTCTCTTCTTCTTATTGGTGTCCTTTAGTAGTGGTTTCTTTTCAGCAATTCGACCATGAAGGCCTGATTCACGCAGTCCCCTCTGAGTAGTTGATGTTGAGATGTGTCTGTTACTTGAACTCTGTGAAGCATTTATTTGGGCTGCAATTTCTGAGGCTGGTAACTCTAATTAACTTATCCTCTGCAGCAGAGGTAACTCTGGGTCTTCCTTCCTGTGGACGGTCCTCATGAGAGCCGTTTCATCATAGCGCTTGATGGTTTTTTGCGACTGCAACTTGAAGAAACTTTCAAAGTTCTTGAAATTGTCCGTATTGACTGACCTTCATGTCTTAAAGTAATGATGGACTGTCGTTTCTCTTTGCTTATTTGAGTTGTTCTTGCCATAATATGGACTTGGTATTTTACCAAATAGGGCTATCTTCTGTATACCCTCCCTACCTTGTCACAACAACTGATTAGCTCAAACGCATTAAGAAGGAAAGAAATTCCACAAATTAACTTTTAAGAAGGCACACCTGTTAATTGAAATGCATTCCAGGTGCCTACCTCATGAAGCTGGTTGAGAGAATGCCAAGAGTGTGCAAATCTGTCATCAAGGCAAAGGGTGGCTATTTGAAGAATCTCAAATATAAAATATATTTTGATTTGTTTAACACTTTGTTGGTTACTACATGATTCCATATGTGTTATTTCATAGTTTTGATGTCTTCACTATTATTCTACAATGTAAATAAATAGTAAAAATAAAGAAAAACCCTTGAATGAGTAGGTGTGTTCTAAACTTTTGACTGGTAGTGTATGTATTATATATATATATATAATATATATATAATATATATATATAATATATATATATATATATATATCTATATATATACATATACATATATATATATATATATACATATAGAGTGTGGAGAACAAGTATTTGATACACTGCCGATTTTGCAGGTATCTTACATACAAAGCATGTAGAGGTCTGTAATTTTTATCATAGGTACACTTCAACTGTGAGAGACGGAATCTAAAAGAAATATCCAGAAAATCACATTGTATGATTTTTAAGTAATTAATTTGCATTTTATTGCATGACATTAGTATTTGATACATCAGAAAAGCAGAACTGAATATTTGGTTTGCAATTACAGAGATCATATGTTTACTGTAGGTCTAGACCAGGTTTTCACACATTGCAGCAGGGATTTTGGCCCACTCCTCCATACAGACCTTCTCCAGATCCTTCAGGTTTCGGGGCTGTCGCTGGGCAATACGGACTTTCAGCTCCCTCCAAAGATTTTCTATTGGGTTCAGGTCGGGAGACTGGCTAGGCCACTCCAGGACCTTGAGATGCTTCTTACGGAGCCACTCCTTAGTTGCCCTGGCTGTGTGTTTCGGGTCATTGTCATGCCTGAAGACCCAGCCACGACCCATCTTCAATGCTCTTACTGAGGGAAGGAGGTTGTTGGCCAAGATCTCGCGATACATGGCCCCATCCATCCTCCCCTCAATGCGGTGCAGTCGTCCTGTCCCCTTTGCAGAAAAGCATCCCCAAAGAATGATGTTTCCACTTCCATGCTTCATGGTTGGGATGGTGTTCTTGGGGTTGTACTCATCCTTCTTCTTCCTCCAAACACGGCGAGTGCCGATTAGACCAAAAAGCTATATTTTTGTCTCATCAGACCACATGACCTTCTCCCATTCCTCCTCTGGATCATCCAGATGGTCATTGGCAAACTTCAGACGGGCCTGGATATGCGCTGGCTTGAGCAGTGGGACCTTGCGTGCGCTGCAGGATTTTAATCCATGACGGCGTAGTGTGTTACTAATGGTTTTCTTTGAGACTGTGGTCCCAGCTCTCTTCAGGTCATTGACCAGGTCCTGCCGTGTAGTTCTGGGCTGATCCCTCACCTTCCTAATAATAATAATAATATGCCATTAGCAGACACTTTTATCCAAAGCGACTTACAGTCATGCGTGCATACATATTTTTTTTTTGTGTATGGGTGGTCCCGGAGTTCGAACCCACTACCTTGGCGTTACAAGCGCCGTGCTCTACCAGCTGAGCTACAGAGGACCATGATCATTAATGCCCCACGAGGTGAGATCTTGCATGGAGCCCCAGACCGAGGGTGATTGACCGTCATCTTGAATTTTTTCCATTTTCTAATAATTGCGCCAACAGTTTGTTGCCTTCTCACCAAGCTGCTTGCCTATTGTCCTGTAGCCCATCCCAGCCTTGTGCAGGTCTACAATTTTATCCCTGATGTCCTTACACAGCTCTCTGGTCTTGGCCATTGTGGAGAGGTTGGAGTCTGTTTGATTGAGTGTGTGGACAGGTATCTTTTATACAGGTAACTAGTTCAATCAGGTGCAGTTAATACAGGTAATGAGTGGAGAACAGGAGGGCTTCTTAAAGAAAAACTAACAGGTCTGTGAGAGCCGGAATTCTTACTGGTTGGTAGGTGATCAAATACTTATGTCATGCAATAAATTGCAAATTAATTACTTAAAAGTTATACAATGTGATTTTCTGGATTTTTGTTTTAGATTCCGTCTCTCACAGTTGAAGTGTACCTATGATAAAAAATTACAGACCTCTACATGCTTTGTAAATAGGAAAACCTGCAAAATCGGCAGTGTATCAAATACTTGTTCTCCCCACTGTATATATATATATATATGTATATAACCCTACAGTGCTATTGGCATTGCCATGGTAACACACCGAGATAGAGAGTGTTTGTGTGTGTGGACATGTTTAACTATACCTGAAGACCAGAAGTCCCCATAAGTCCCCAAACATAAATTCCACCAACTGGGGACATTTTGCATCTCCCACAAGGAAAAATACTATTTCTAGGGGTTTACGTTTAGAATTAGTGTTAGGTTAGAATTAGGGTTATGTTTTAGTGTTAACGTTAGGTTTAGGTGTTAGGGAAAATAGTATTTTGAATCAATTGTGTCCCCACAAAGTTAGTAAAACAAGACTGTGTAGAGGGTAGTCTTTTCTACCTCTGTGACTTTGTCTCTCTCTACAGGGGGGCGTGGTTTATGTAAATTACGGCCGCCAGGAGGATTTTGACAGGCTGAGGTCTGCGGGGGTGTCTGTGATTGGCTGTGTGGTAGTGATGCGTGTGGGGGGCGGGGTTAGTTATGCTGAGAAGGTGCTATTGGCTCAGAAGGCTGGAGCAGGCGGAGCCTTGATCTACCCAGATCCTGCAGACATCCCTCAGGACCCTCGACGCTTGGGGCTGAACAGCTACACCGCTATATCAGAACACGTATGTAACACGCTATATCAGAACACGTATGTTACAGCTACACCGCTATATCAGAACACGTATGTAACAGCTACACCGCTATATCAGAACACGTATGTAACAGTTACACCGCTATATCAGAACACGTATGTTACAGTTACACCGCTATATCAGAACACGTATGTAACAGTTACACTGCTATATCAGAACACGTATGTAACAGTTACACCGCTATATCAGAACAGGCAACGTATGTAAGTTTACACCGCTATATCAAACTGTAAGTACCATTTACAAGACACGGCGCTATAAAAATCAAACAACGTATTTTACAGTTACAACAACAAAAAACAACCGCTAATCAGAACCGTATGAAATTAACTTAAAATCAAACATGAAATTACATTACAACGGAAGGACAAAAAAAAACCCCCATAAGGGGCAGTATGTACGTTAACCACTAATCAAACCTGGATAACAGCACCGTATATAAAACACAACTTAAACAGCAAAGTATCGAAACAGGAAACATACAACAAAACAACCGCAGAATCAAACAACGTAAAATTACACCTATATAAAGAACACGTATTACATTTAACCGCTAATCCGAACGTTTACAGTACCCCCCACAACACGCTAATAAACACGTATTAAAATACACCCTTTATCGAACACGTATGTAAATTACACCGCTTAATCAAACTATTTACAGACAAAACCGCTATATAAAAACCCCGTATGTAACTTAGCCAAACCACCCTAAAAAAAACGTATGTAACAGTTCACAAAACCCAAACAAAACGATTATTACACTTTTCTAAAATTTTTTCATTATTAAAAACATATCAGAACCGTATGTAAATACCCCGCTAATCAGAACATTTTAAAACAAAACAAAACCAACGAATCAGAACACGTATGAAACCAGTTACAACACAACACAAACGCTATATCAAAACTTTAATTTACAAAACACCGCTATATCAAACATGTTTACAGTTAAACACCCTTTCAAACACGATGTAACAGTTACAAACTTAAAAAACCCCCTATTACAAACAAAAGCACACCACACCGTTAAATCAAACGTATTTTACAGTTACAGAAAAACAAAACCCCTATGAACTACAAACACCGCTATAACAAACAAAACGTTAATCAACACAACTTATCGTACGATACAGTTACAACAAAAAACATATAGACGTTACCAACCCCGCTATGGGGAAACAAACACTAGGAACAATTACGAACCAAAATCGACACGTATTACTTTTAAACAAACAACCGCTATATCAAACACGTATGTTCATTAAACCTTACAAAACTATTACAGACAAAGGCAAATTAAACAAAACCCCCGATAACCTTTAAACCCCTATATCAACGCAAAAACAAAAACGCATATGAACAGTTAAACAACAAACCCGCTATAATCAGAACACGTATGTAACAGTTCCAACAAAAAAGCGTTAAAATCAAACCGTAGGTTACAGTTACAAAAACCAAACCGTTGAAATTTACACGCTATATCAAACCGTATGAAACAGTTAAAACAAACAAAAACCCATTCAGAACCTATTACACATTAACAAAAAACCGATATCAAAAACAGTATGACATTACAACCCCGCTATTTTCAGACCATTTTATAAACATAAAACCCCTAAAAACACTAAACAGTTAACACAACAAATTTTTATTACAACCCCCCTATATCAGAACATAGTACAGTTCCCAACAAACACCGCTATATCAGAAACACGTATTAACAGCAAAACCGCTATATCAGAACACTTTGTAACAGTTACACCGCTATTCAAAACACATTTACAGTTAACAAACAACCCTATACAAACACAGTAAACATTCACCCTATATCCAGAACAATGTAAACACCGCTATATCAAAACAGTTTACATTAACACAAAAACCGCTATTCAACACGTATGTAACAGTACACCCATATCAACATATGTAACAACAAAGACCAAACAAAAACACATTTAAAACCCTAATCAAACACGATTAACCCAATAACATTTGTCCGTACACCGCAAATATCAGAACATATTTACACTCCAAAAACAACCCTAACAACACCTATAGTCCAAAAACCCGTATAAAAACACGTTAAAAAAATTACAAAACCAAAAAAACCCCCTTTAACACCAAAAAGTTAAAACCCTATATCAGAACCGTATGTTACAGTTACAAACAAAAAAAACCGCTAACAAACAGAACATTACAAAAAAAACGAAATTAAACCCTTTTAAACATACACCGCTTTAAACATATGTAACAGTTACACCGCTATATCAGAACACGTATGTTACAGTTACACCGCTATATCAACCGTATTTAATTTACACCAAACACAGAACAGTATTAACTTTTTACATAAACAAACAACCGCATCAGAACACGTAAACCCTTTAAACCATAACAGGCAATTAAACACCAAACCGCTATATCAACACTTATTTAAACAGTTACAAACAACCGAAAACATTTTACCGTTTAAAACCGTATGTAACAGTACAACAAAAACCCCTAAATACCGCTATATCAGAACACGTATGTTACAGTTACAAAATAACAACACGTTTACAAAACACCGTATTAACACTTACAAGACCCCTATATCAAAAACACTTATTTTAAACGTAAAACCGCTAAAAGCAAAAAATCGGTATGTACAGTAACACAACAAACAAACCCCCAACAAACCCCGAGTAATAGAACAGAGTACTAAACTATAGACAGAGTAAAAAAATAAAAGTAGAAATGTTAACAAAAACAAAAAATGTAAGTAACAAACTAACAGACCGTAGGAAAATTAAACAAAAAACGCTAAAAAAAGTATGAAAACCCCGAAACCCGATGTACACAAACGAAAAAAACACGTATGAAAGTAAACCCTTTAAAACCCTTTTACAGTTCCCCTAACCGCTTTTTTCGAACCCAAAACAGAACAACAAAAACCCTCCTATCAAAAGTTTACCAGTACACATTACACAACCCTATCAAACACGATGAACAGTTACAAACACAGTAACATTACAACCCTAATCAAAAACACGTATTACAGTTACAACCGCTATAAATCAAACACTTTTTGACAGTTACAAACCCCTAAACTCAAACTATTAAAAAAGGTTACACCATACAAACCCGTATTCAAACCCAAAATTTCCCCGTTAAAAAACACGTAATAACCTTTAAAACCCGTAACAAAACCCTAAACACGTATGTAAGTTACACAACATACAACAACACAACAAACCACTATATTCAGAAACAAACACCGCTTATCAAACACTATTTACAAAACCACCCTATATCAGAACACGTATAAATTACAAAAAACAAACACTTTAAGTCACAAACAAAAAACCCGCTATATCAGAACACTATTTTAACCCCTATATCAAACATGTAACAGTCAACCCCCGCTATATCAAACACGTATGTACGTTACACATTTAAAATCGAACAAACTTGTAACATTACAACCCCTATCAGAACACGTATGTAAGTTCACAACAACCGCTATAATCAAACACGTATGTAACAGTAAAAAACACACCAACAGAAACTAAACGTTAAAACAGAACTTTTTAAAGTTTAAACGTAAAAAACACGTATGTAAAAAACCCCCCCAAAAATTCAGAACACGTATGTTTAAAACCCAAAAAAAAAAAAAACCCCCCCAAAGGTTTTAACCTAACAAACAAAAACCCCAAATTTTAAAACCCGTAAACCCAAAAAACCCAAAAAAACCCTTTTAAATAAAACCCTTATTCAGAACACTAAAACAACCCCAAAAAACAGCTAAAAAAACCCTATTTAAACACGTATTTTCATTTCCCCCCGCTATATCAAAACGTATTAAACAAAACAACCAAACCCCCCCTAAACGTAACAAAAAAAAACCCCCTAAAAATTTTAAAACCCCTTGTCAACCCTTTTAAAATAAAACCCGTATTAACACTAAACAAAAAACCCCCATAAAACACTTTTAACATTAAACCAAAAAAAACCCAAAAAAAAAAAACCCCCAAAACCCCGAAAATAAACTTTAAATAAACCCCCCCCCAAAAAAAAATTGTAAAAAAACCCCTTTCAAACAAAACCCCAAAAAACCCCAAAAAACACTTA